CTCTCACCATCCTGTCATCCTCATGCCTGTTCCTGTCACCAGTCCCAAATCTGCCCATCTGTTGCTTCCCAGCTTACTGGCCACCTTTCTTAGAAATTTTCCCCCTGGCTTCATCCCCACCAGCCCACAGACATAGCCAGCCATTTCTTTCCCCTCAGCTCTGGCAGAGTGGACTCTCCCTGGCTTGCATCATTTACTACTGAATTATAGTTGCACCTATGATGCTCACCAACGTGCAGGTGGGTTATCTTGGAGCTTCTGGTAATCGAGGAGCCTGAGTCTCTGGGACCTGGTCCCCCAGGACATCGGGCCCAGGGCCGAGTGCAGAGAAGGTGCTCAAAGCTAACTTGCTGATTGAAGTGAGGACATTATGGTGGCCACGTAGCCAGAGAAACTCGGAGCAGGTCCCTGCACTCGCCTTGGCCAAATCCCACACACTGTGGACCGCTGCCTCACTGGGAAACGGGCTGGTAATGTCTGCAGCAGGGCCTCCATTACCCTGAGGGTTTTAAGGAGTGGAGATCACATGCTCATGCTCGTGTAGAGTCCCCAGCAAGGCATTCACTCGCAGTGGTTATGAGTCGGTTGTCCCTTGGGCACTGTGAGACCGCTAAAGCCAATGCCGCGGGAGCTGCCAGGGGACAGGGCTGAGCCCCACCACTTGGGTCACGACTGGGCTCGGAGGAGCCAGACAAGGGAGTAAGTGGGAGGTGTCGGACTCCCCCCAGGGCGCCCACGGAACCATCTCACGTGCGCACAGCTCTGCCTTTCCTCCCTGCCCCCACACTTGAAAGGAGTGCTCCCATTTCCATGTCTCTAGCACAGCTTTTTCTGCTGCAGGCCAATTCCCTTATGCTCCAAGCCTGATTTTTCCAGGCTTCTAATCGGTTTCCATGCCTTGATCCGGCCCCTGCATGTCGCTTTACAGTGTGGAACCCTGACTTAACTCCGTACTTCCCAGGCTGGCCGGGGCCGGGGAGCACCGTGGCCTCTCCAGCCTCCTTGCCCCGAGGACCCAGGCGTCCCCACTCCCAGCCTGGCCGCCGCCGGCCCGGGGCCTCCGGTCGGACCCTTGCCCACTCTGCCTCGCTCCTCCCCTTCATCTGTGGCTCCCAGCACGTATGCCTCTCTCTATCAGTGTATCGGGCCAGCATGCCTCATCTAAAGTGTATATATTACCTAATAAAATCCTTCTTATTTGGGATTATTGCATCAAATTTTAATTTCCTCACTCGAGCAGCGGCATGTCGGCCTGCCCGTCAGTGAAGGACCGATAGAAGGTGAAAAGAGCGGATAAACTGCACAAATTACTGCCAGCTGATGCCTATCAGCCCTTTGACTGGAATTGACTGGAATTAAGGCCTGAGAAATAGGATTTTCTGCCTCAGAATCTGCTGTGGCAGCTCTTGTCGGAAGTCCCCTCCAGCCCCCACGCCCATCCCCCCACAGGCACCTCCAGCTCCCGGAGCAGACTGCCTTTCCAGTCCTTAATCCTGTCATGGAAATGGGGAAGGTGGTCCCAGGGGAGAGAGATGGGCCAGGACCCCTGAGGCCCCCACCGCCCCGTGGGTTCCCGCTCCAGCTCCTGTCCTGGCCGGCTGCTCTGGGAAAGGCAGGCCACAGAAGGGGAGACACAAGCTCCTTCTAGAGGAGTCTCAGCTCCTCTCAAATCTGCCCGGACTTCCTCACCAGTACCCAAACCTCAGAGGCCGGGGCTGCCTCGCACCCCTCGCCCACCCCTGTCTTCGGCACGCCTTACTGGGCGTCAAGCCCTGGGCCTGTCCCCTCTGCCACAGAGCAGGGGAGTCCCCCAGACCCACCCCAGCACAGGCCTCCATTCCCCAGTCACCCTCGCCCCACCCACTGACCACACCTTGTGACTTGAAGCCGATGCCAGAACCTTCTGAGCGTATTTCCTCGCACACTCCCCCTTGTTGGGGCCTGTGAGGAAAACTTGAGAGTACCTCTGTTGGGTGCCCAGCACAGTGCTTGGTACAGAGTAGGTACTTAACGAGTGCTAGCCCTTCCTGGGCTGTTAGCTGTTCTGTCTCTCTAACACCCAGAAGACGCCTTTGCTCCAGGGTACGGATTATGAATCTGGGGTGCTAGGGAATCCAAATGTGCTGAAACTGTGGGGCACAGCATCGGCATGCAGTGTCTGGGAAGAGACACCTGAGCTTTCATCAGATGCTTGAACAGTGACAGTCGCTTTTATAGCATTTGCTGTGTACTGGGTGTGGTTCTAAGCGCTGTACACATATCAGTTGCTGAGGAGTGGGGGCCGTTATACCCATTTTATAGATGGGGAAAACAAGCCAGTGAGAGATCAAGTAACTCACTCAAAGGATTTGAGCCTAGACAGTCTGGCAACGGAGTCAAACCCCTAACCCCCCACCATACTGCTCTTCCCACCACAAGGAGCCGGGACCCTGGAGGCCTGTGCACCTTTAGCCTCTCGGGGCGGGAGGGGGGGGGGTGCCTCATTTCCTTACAACGTGGGTTCCTGTGACGGGAGGAGCCCTGTGGCAGGGTGGACCCTTCTCTGAACCTCCTGGGCCTGCCCACCTGCTCTCCCAGCCACGTGCTGGTGCGTACCCCCACCCCCGCCCCGATCTGGAGAGCCAGCCAGTAAGGGGCCTGGCTCTGGGCCATGCTTCTCCATTCCCTCGTCTTTGGAAATAAGTTTCAGTATATTGAAAATATAATTACTAAGACTCTGAAACAAGAGCCGTGGGATCCCAAGAGCCCCCATTCCTCCCCATTAATTCCTTCTTATAACATTTCCAGTCTTTGTGGCTGCACTTGTATTAAAAGCTCAGGGTTTTATTAAAAATGGATTTATTTACCCAAAAAGAGATGAAACCCCAAACTTTGTCAGGAGCCTGTTGGCTCTCACTTCCCAGAAGCTCAGGGTGGCTCTTCCTGGGGAGAGCCAGCCGCCCTGTCCTCCCATCTTGATTGCCCGCTGGCCCCCTCTGAGGCCCACCTGTCCGCGAGCCTCCAGGCAGCCCACGGTGGGGGTGCCCATGGCGAGATGCTCGCAAGGCTCTGAGACCTGAGGGTGCTTTGGCCACCAGCTCCCATCTTTGCATAGGCCACCGCTGCCCCCCTCCAGACCTCCTGTGGTATACTTGTCCTTGTAGTTGTCCTTATCTATAGGCCCAGCTCAGCACAGCCACTCCCGGGTTGTATGCCTGGGGCCATGCAGCTGCCCCTGGCGGTTTACCGTTTAGTGACTTTCTGGAAAGGTGCTCTGGAGGCTCTGGACCCAGTTACACTGGCAGGCTTGTCCCTGTCCTCAGCAGACCCTCAAACTGAGACACTTTCTGGGACCAGGCCAAATGGGGCTCTAAAAGAGGGAGTTGTCCCCATGTCCTGGCACCTGAGCCTCACACCAGAGTCCCACACTGTGGGGACCTTCTCCTGGGGGCAAACCCAGGCCTCTCCTATGTGAGGAGTGGCTCCTAGAGGGGTAGACCCCCCCCAAAAAAAGAGCCCTCTGTGGGGTGACGTTGGGGGAAGCTGTTAGAGCAGACCCTGCAGTGACCCTCCACAGATGCCTGGGTCTGGGGCCGTTAGCAGATATTACAGGGGAAGAGTCTGTCATCAGATCAGAAAGCCCAGGAGAACAAAGGTTAACAGGGTTGCTGTGGTCTTGTTTTGTTTTGTTTTAAATCACTTTACTACTTTGAGGAGCCATTACTACACCGAAGCCCAAGGGAATGGTGGGATGTGTAAGTTGTCCCAAATTTGACATGAGCTAATGCTCGTGAAGTGCTTAGATTAGTGCCTGCCACATAGCAAGGACGTTCACAAATGACAGTCACCATTATTATAACAGAACCTGGGACGGAGTGGCATCGCTTGGTGGGCAAGAGCTTTTTGGAGCCAAGGCTCCAAACCTGGTGAACCCTGGCTTCACCATTCCTTCCTTGCAGTGGGACCTTGGCAAGGCCATTTAACTCGAATTCCTCAGTTTCCTCATCTAGAAGATGGGGCTTCTGGGGAAGGTGTGAGGGTGGAATTAGTACATAGAAGGCATTTGCAGCAGCACCGGGCCCAGAGGGGCTGCTCGGGAAAGAACAGGGCCCTCAAAGCTGGTCACAGTTCAGGTCCTCAGAACCCGCTTGGGGAGAGGCTCATTTAATGGTGTCTTTCTCTGATTTTTTAACAGTCTATTCCCCCAGGGGATGTAGCCCGAGCTCCTGTCTCCCCAGGGGAAGAGGCCCCAAGGAGGGAGCCAGACCTGCTTTCTGCATGGCCCGGGTCTCGGGGCTATGTCCATGTTTCTGCGGGAACCGTTTCTCCTGGAATATTCTCACAATATTCCCCTGGAATATTCCTTCCGCCCAAGCTAGAGGTGCTCCTGGGCCTGGGAGAGGATGGAGCGACAGCCGCACGGGGACAGCCCTGCTCTGGGAGGGTGAGGTGGGGGTGCCCCTGTGTGTCTTGCCCCCAGGGCCCCACCCTACTGATCAGAGGCCCTATAGGTCAGAGAACAAGACTCTCTCCACAGGAAGAGGTGCTCAGGTAGGGGTGGAGGGTACAGCCAGCAGACTTCACACCTCTAGCTGATGGACAGCAAATGGGTGAGAGGCAGCCTATCAAGGCCACAAGAGATCGTCATTAGACGTGTAAATGCCAGGGTTGATATTTCCCTAGGGGATGGGGACCGGCTGTGTCCTGCTGGTTATCAACCAGGGGAAACTGCAGCCCGAGCCAGAACTTCAGGCAGGCAGGTGGACAGGCTTGGCTGGCCGGACAGTGGTGTGATAGGGCTGGAGAGGAAGGTGAAGGTCACCGTGGGCAAGGAGAGACTCAGCCGGTGGTGGCGGCGGCAATGGTGAGGTCAGAATCCTCTTCTGTGCATCCCTTTATTCAATCAACCAGCCAGCCCATCGGCTGATATTTGAATGTGCCCATTCGTGCCAGGATCCCTTCCTGGAGAGTCTTATGCCCCCAAGTCCCTGCCTGTGCTCTGTCTTTTGCCTTCTGTATCAACTTCTCTCCGTGGCAAACTCCCACTCCTTCTTCGTGACCCATCCTCAGTGTTGCTGTCTGTACAACCCCTTGCCAGGTCCTCCAGGTGGACTTCTGTACTTCGGGGTACATTTCTGCATCTGAGCACTCTTAGGTGTGTGTAGCAGTGTCTGTGAATCTGTCCTTGACCCCTTGCCACCGGCTGCATGCGCCCTAAGAGCAGAGACCCCTGAATCCCCATCCTGGTCGTCCCAGATCCTGGCCCCTTCTCCCCCAGTGCTGCAGGGAGAAGAAACAGGATGTGGGACAAAGTCAACTGAGGCAGGAGCTGCTGTTGCAGTGCTGGATAGGGCATGGTTCACAGGGCCATGGTGGCCTCGGGGGTCATCCCTGGGCATGCTCACTTTCAGGATTTATGATGCGTTCATTAGTAGAGTGATTGATCCATAACGTTCTCCTTTACTCAAGTCCCAGTGAAAGCAGGGTCCCAGGGTTTTTGCTGTTATTCATATTAAGGTAGGGCACACTGAGATCAGAAAGGTACAGCAACCTTCCTGAGGTCACACAGCAATTTGATGGGTGGTTGAGATAGAGACCAGATCTCTTGTCCCCCAGCTTGTTTTTCCTCTTTCCTGGGTGGTTACACCAGATGAGGGGAGATGGGGAGGGGAAGGGGGAATGAGAGCCTCAGCAAGATCGGGCCTCTCCAAGGGGCTCCGAGCTGTTTGCCGAGGCCTCAGTAGCTACTTCCTAGGCTGGCCTGGTGGCAGGGACTCCACTACCTGGGGAGGGAAGCTGCAGGTGCCAAGAGAGCCAAAAAAAAAAAAGATGGCCCCCCAGGGGCTGGGCAGCCAAATAAGGTCCCTCCTCTCTCCTACCCAGGGCACAACGGTGCGCGTTATCACCGCTGTCGACCAGGATAAAGGACGTCCCCGGGGGATCGGCTACACCATCGTCTCAGGTAAGGGCTCGGCGCCCTGGCCCCCCATCCCCACTGCAGGAGCGTCAGGCTCCGCAGGTCTGAGCAGAGGTCTGGGGGTGTGGACAGTGGTATGAGGGAACCAGCCCCCAGGGAAAACCCTGGGCAGAAGGCCTCAGAAGGGGACGAAGTGGATGAAGGAGGGAGGTGCTGGGGAGGAGGAGGGGAGCTGGGGACTGAGGCTCGGATGTTGGGGGCCGCTTGGGTGGTGTTGGGGGACAGGAGCGTGTGCCACTGTCCATGGTCCGAGGCATCGGAGCCCCTTGGGTTTCTGAGCCTGGGTCACTGGGGACTCCCATCTACCTCCTTCAGTGCTGTGGGTGTTTCTTTGTTTTGCTTTTCTGACTTGATGAAAAGGTGGCAGTTTGTGCATCATTTTAGGATGAATAGACCTGCAATTTCACCTGATTTCATGCTCTTTTCACATTTCTGACCATTAGGAGTTCTTGTCTCATCAGGAGTGCTGGAGGGGATGCACAGAGCCCCCTCCTCTCCCGCCCCATCTCTTGGTTAGGCCGAATAGTGCCTGGCTACAGAGAAGGTTCTGGCTGATGGGATCCCTGACCCCACATGCCTACCTAAAGATGGACCAAGTAGCTCCATTTAGCTGTCCCAGGGCTGAGTGGCTTTGGAGAGAGGGAGTCGGTGAGAGGCCCATGAGGGCTGCTCACTCCTCCACAGACTGGCTCTGTCCCGATGCTCTTACCCCACCCCACAGGTGGCCTCCCGCCCTGCCCCCTAGTCAGTGAAGGGTCAGCCTCGTGCATCTGGGCAGGCCAGACTGATGGCCAGGAGGATGGCAAGCCACCAGGCTTGTGTCTACCCCATCGCCTCTCCCGACCACACCGCCACAACAGGGAGTGACATTTGGGGGACATTTTTTCCCCTAAAGCTCAAAAGACACCAAGGTGTAATGATCAAGAACATAGAGGATGGAGTCTCGTGAGCAAATTGCCTCAGGTGGGTCTCTATACCTCAGTATAGAGGTATAGAACAATGAGAAGTGCTTACTATCTTGGGAGATTAAGGGTCAGAAGACTTAATATATGTAGAGAACCTAATTCATGGATGTAAGTTCCTTTATACGTGTTACTTATTGTTGTTATTATTATTGCTGGCAGCTAATAATAACCTTGGGAAGCTGGGAGTTAGCTCGTGGGAGGAAGACCCTCCCCCTCCTAGGGATGCAGGAAATCAGGGGCATTGTGGGCTCCCTGTGACCTGCAGCTGCCGGTATGACTACTATCATGTCTTTAAGCCCAGCGTACCCCAGGCCCCAAAGCAAATGCCAGACCGGCTCATGTGGTCAGCAGCAGCAGCAAGGGTTCAGGCCTCTCCTCCCCAACCCCATTTCCTCCCCATTCTGGTACCCAGCACAGGACTCAGCAGAGTAAACCCCAGTGTGTACTTGTGGAATGAAGGAAGGGAGGAGAGAAGGAATGTGATTCTAGGGTCATGGGTTTTCAAATTCCAATATGCCCAAGAATCACCTGGAGCTCCTACCAAAAATGCAGAGTCCTTGGCACCCACAGAGATTCTCATTCTGTGAAACTGGGGTGGGACCCTAGAATAGCCCTTTCTCACAGCTCCCCAGATGCAGAGGGTCCTTAGGCTAGGGTGTGGGAAAACTAGTCCTAGGAAGGAAGGAAGCCATTCTGCAAGAAGGCAGAATTCCCCGGGAATTAGGGGGCCCTCTCCTGCTAAGCAGAGGAGAAGGGAGGCCCATGCTGGTGCTGGTTTTCTTCATGATTTTTTCAATTTGGGAAGCAAACCAAGTGCCCCCCAGGGACAAGGGGCTTGTGCTGGAGACCTAAGGGAACACCAGTGAGCCCCAAGAGTGGTAGAGTTGAGGCACCAGGATAAGGTGGCAGCATAAAGGGACACCTGGCTGGGTGGGGGATTGTCTCCTCATCTCATTGCCTGTGAGCTGGTTCCAAACATACCCCAGCCAAATGAAGGTGGGAAGCAAGGAGCCAGGAGCTAGCCTGCGGTCATGACCAGACTGGAAATTCCTGCGTGACACTGAGAGGCCATCCTCCAGGGTATTTGTCCATCTAAGTTCCTTCTGGGTGCCAGGCCACCAGCCTCAGAACCCCAGGCCCTCTCCAGCCCTTAAAGATGGCCCTAGGGGCACCTGGGTGGCTCAGTCGTTAAGTGTCTGCCTTCAGCTCAGGCCAGGATCCCGGGATCCTGGGATCGAGCCCCACATCGGGCTCCCTGCTTGGCGGGAAGCCTGCTTCTCCCTCTCCCTCTGCCCCTGCTTGTGTTCCCTCTCTTGCTGTGTCTCTCTCTGTCAAATAAAAAAATAAAATCTTAAAAAAAAAAAAAAAAAAAGATGGCCCTAGCCAGCTCTCCTTCCTCACCCCCTCCCCTGGCATCAGGAGGTAGGAGGGCAGAGCTGCTGAGCCTTTGGGGTCTGGGCTGGGGACGGTTGCCTGTGGCAGTGTACTCTGAGATTTCCAGGGGCATACTCTCCTGGGCCAGGTCCCCAAGTGTGAATAGCAGGTTGAGAAGGGAGACACAGGATGTGAAACTACAGGTAGGTGATGTGCGTGAAGATGGGAGGCGGGAGGCAGAAACTTCCAGAAGGCTTGCAGCACTTAGCATAGCTTTTTAGGATTTCCACTGCCAGCAAAAATGTGCTTTGAGGGCTTTTAGAAAGGATGACAAATGGGTTTCCTCTCACATGCCAACTGTGATTGATTGGTAATGGCTGCTTGAAGCCAAGCAGGCTCAGTGTGGTATTCAATTGGTAGAGTCTGCTATGGGTGCAGAAAGAGAGAGGGCACACAGCACCAGCGGCAAATAGTTGCTGTCCTTGCTAAGATAGCACTTGGACCTCGTTTGCAGGGTGGCCTTGATGGTTCTTTAACTCTCTCATGGGTGTTTGTCACTACGCAACCCACAACCCCACCCAAATTCTTTTTAGGCAGCTTGAGGGCAGTCCTTCCCTTTTCCTTCCCTCCCTATCCTGAGTACCTGGCTGACCTGACTGTCCACCCACCTGTTCCTGCCCGCCCTTCTCCCTGGCCCTGGGCTGGCATGGTCTCCCTGTAATCCAGCGTCAGTGTGAGCCTAGAGCAGGCAGACAGGCAGGAGGATGAAGTCTCCAGGGAAGCAGATAGGCAGAAAACTAGGATATGGCCTCATCTCTACTTCTCTTGACCAGTAGACATTGTTGCAGAGCACTTTGTCTGCCAAGGATCTGGCCTCACACACCTGCCTTTCCAGTGCTGTGAAGTCTCAGCCCTTTCCTAGGAGGCTCAGCCAGTGTCTGTTTGGCTTGAAGCAGAAAGAAGGAATGCCCACAAGGGCACCTTCACGCTGACTGGCCCAAGCTGGCCCTGAGTACCCCATGGGAGCCTGCTCCCACCCTAGATGCTAGGGAACCATTTTCATTTGAAAGAAAAATGAGGATCTCAGGGGTTCCTGGAGCCAGGTGTGAGTCCTGATGGCCACTGTGGGTGACTGAGTCTCTGGGAACCTCCAGAGCTTGGGCAGGGGGTGGCTTTGTCTGCATGTGGGTGGACACAGGTCTGAGCCCATGAGTGATCCATGGCACGCGGTTAACCTGCTTGGCTCCTTGAGGCCCCCATCCCCTCCGGGCTGTTTATCAGCCCTGCAGCTGGGGGGATTTATGTCTGCACACCAGTGCTTTCGCCATAACTAATGACCCCTCTGTTTTGCCAAGAACAAAGAGGCCTTCAGAGGTTAAGTTATGGCTCCATTGCCATCAATTTGTTCTCAGCCTCTTGTGGCCAAACTGAGACTGAAGAATGACAAGGTTCTTTCCCACAGAGGACCTGGCACAGGCCCCATCTGCTTCCTCAGCCTGTGCCTGCCCTGCCACTCACCAAGGGCATCACTTCCTCCAGGGCCTGAACAAAATGGGGCTCCCATCCCCAGCGGCCAACCCAGCCTGAGGTCTAAACAGACACCTTCCTTTGCCAGATGGAGACAGTCCTCCTTCAAGGGGCAGCTGTGTCCCACCCCACACAGAGCACAGAACTTGGAGTCCAAAGTTGTGCATTCAAGGCCCAGCTCTGTCACCTGCAGCAATGTGTCAAAGAAAGGCATTTGACCCCTCTTTACTCCGTAATCCTTGTCCATGGTACAGGGTTAATAATCTCTATGGCAGACAAAATAGTGCCAGAGAGACTCTAAAGAGCCATAAAGTATTAAGCATTATTAATTATCAAGGAAAGATCAGGCCCAAGGGTCCTGGGGACTTGTATTCATTCATTTCCTCCTTTATCCATTTAAGCAGAGCAGTGGTTGAGAGTGCCGGGCTCTGGGGCCACTGTCCAGGGTGCTGACCACTAGCTCTGCTGGCCAGTACAGTTGCCTGTGGCTACTAAGCCCTTGACACGTGGCTAGTCTGTAAGATAACCCACAGGATTTTGAAGACCTAGTATGCAAAACAGATTATAAAGTATCTCATTAATAATGTCTTACGTGATGACGTGTTAAAGTGATATTTTAGATACACTGTAAATACGACACATTATTAAAATTGATTTCATCTGGTTTTTTTTTTTTAATATGACTACCAGAGAATTTAAAATACCACATGTGGCTCACATCCTATTTCTGTGGGCAGCTCTGTTCCAAAGTTAGACTACCTTGCTGGCTTCTACCACTGACCAACTGTATAACCTTTGAGCTGTTAGTTTTCCAATCTATGTAATGGAGAAAAGAGTAGCCAGAGCCTCACAGGGAAGCTATGTGCATACAGTGAGCTAAGACCTGTAAGCACATAGAAGAGCACCTGATTTTATAGTAGGTGCTCAACAAATGTGGACTCCTGGCATTCACCCACAGTGGATGGAGGGTCTTCTCTGGGCCAAGAGCTGCACTAATGTCCTGAGAGGGTGTGGGGTCAGAGGTATCATCTCGGCCTCAGGAACCTGTAGTGTAGATGGGAAGGCAGACTAAAAAGCAAGGGCTGTGTGGACATGGAGTGATGGCTCCATGGGGGCCCA